CCCTCAGCTGAGCCAGGACGCGGCCGTTGTTGTGGCCATCACACGACGGCTAATGATGCTGGAGTATGGCCGCGATTTCTCGAGGTGGCGGCCTCATTTGGAGCTGCTCTATCACATATGCGGCAAGTGGCCAGTGGTGCTGGGCGATGAGCATTTCGAGGTGTTCGGCAGCCAGACGGGCCGGGGCTTCATCGGCGAGACCGAGGCGGTCCGCCAATGGAAGATACTCAGCCGGGGGCTGACTCTCCACCGTAGAGGCCAGCAATGGCTTCATGGCTGGGGCTATGGCTGGGGCTATGGCCTTCATCGCTGGCGCCCCCCCACCCTCCTCGACGCACCCAGCCCCCTCTTCCCTCACGACACATTCAACCCTGCCGACCCGCCCACACAGCTGAACCATGCCGACCCGCCCACACAGCTGGACGGTCTGTGTGTGCGCTGGGTCTACCGCACTTACGCTTCTATGGTGGCGTTCAGCGTCTTTAATTGGCTTAGTGACGGCGGCTACCTCACCTTCTCCAGAGACTGGTCGTCTCGGTGTCCTGCTTCTGCTGCATTCCGGCGAGTGTATCAATTGCTGGCGGCCCCTCCCAGCGATGCGGCACAGTGGGGGAAGGGTATGGCCGTGTTCGACAAAAAGTATAAGGATCGATGGCATTTGCGGCTGGTGGTGTTGGGCAGTGAGGCGGTCGGTGAGGGGCACACGGCTGGGATTCAGCTGGCGGATTGGGGAGATGAACGTCGTGTCAATGTGTACACGACGGAGTCTGCCCCCCACGACCGCACGCGCAATGCCGTGATGAGAGTACTAGGGCGGCAGCTGGGGGACAAGGTGTGGCGGGAGGAGAGCGAGTATGGATGCGTTATCATGTAGGCAAGGCAGATGGCCAGATAGGCCAAATGTGTTATGTTCGTGACTGGCGCGTGAGTGAATGGTTGTCTACTCATTTCCGGGAGTGATGTTTTTGCGTACCTTCTTTTATCGAGAATGAGGGCTGGTTGTGTGTGGCGTGGCGATCGCATAGAGACAGAAGTAGGATGGGAAAGTAAGACTGCTCGTATCTGCTCGTCCATGGGCGAGAATGAAATGCGTGCATCTCTGCAACCAGCTCATGAGTCACACTGAACACGCCCACACTTGCACACGCCTTCAAGTTATCCGAGTCCAGCGGCTGTACACATTGCATATCCCTGATCCGCACAAAGGCAGCGAATCCACTCTTAGCTTTTCCATTGCAAAGGACCGATTCTTCCTCAGCACATGTTGCTTGACCATCTCAGTGCCTCTCCCACCCAGAAACCTGCCGTTTGCCAGCTGAACACAGGTGCCAGCTTCTTTGACCAGACTGCCAGCTTCTTGGATTGAATCACAGCTTTCTCATCGCAAGACACGCAGAGCTTCAGTCGACCGATGGATGACACCACCACACCACCCTCTGTCCACAGGTGTCCATCCATCCATCCATCCATGCGATTGTCGTGTCCACACATTCATCCATCCATCCATCCGGCCACATGACAAGGCACCCGCCCCCTCGCAGACAACCAACTGGCCAGCCAACCTCACTCACTCACTGCCCACGTGTGCAACAACACAGAAGGCTGATCTAATCACATATGTGCATGGAACAGATCAAGTCTCACACTTCTTCCTGCGGCGAGATCTCGCCATGCGTGCGCCTCAGCGACTGGGCAGGGGCAGCAGCTGGCGAAGGGGCGCATTCATTCACGTGTTCCATCAACACAGACATACGCCACGCCATGCCTCACCAGAGAGACATGCGCAGCATGCAGCCGGGGGAACGCATACAGAGGCACCATGCAAGCAGACGGGCAGCGACGAAAAGCCCGCTGCCTGTCTGTCTGTCTGTCTGTCTGTCTCCGCTCCTATTGACCGCCAACCATCCCTCTGTCATGGGAAAATCGACATATCGGCAAAGCCCCGATCACATCACAGTGCAGGCCGTGACTTGCCTGTCCTCGTTCACCTCATCCTCCTTCCGCCACATCTTTCCCCCCAGCTGATCCCCAAGCATTCTCATCACGGCATTGCGCGTCTTGTCGTGGGGGAACCACTCGGTCGTGTAGACGGACACATCAGAGGGAAATTTGTGATCGCTCAGCCAAATAAGTGCCAGGCGTCCCTTTCCCACCGCCTCACT